ATTTTGTGAATTATATTTTTATTGCGATTATGTGTTAGTTTACATGGTGAACATTATCTTTACATTCATCCTATCATATTTTGTTTCATTGCAATGATCAGAATCCCCTGCATGCATCATCAAATAACCAAAAGGTACACCCCACATGCCTAACCACCCCCACCCCCCTGCCAGCCCACAGCCGCTCTCCCTCCCTGAGTCCAGAGTACCCAGCCGCTCCTTCTGTCATCATCTCTGCCTCCATCCCTAGTGTCACTGCTTCCTGCACTTCACTTTTCTCCCTTGATGGTTCCAGGGATCTCCACTCCTGGACTGCAAAATCAGCTACTCCGCTCCTTTTGTTACCAAACATTTACAACCTTTGCAACACTCACTGTCAGACCTGATAGCAATCATTTCCTATTGAACCACAGGAGTCCTTTACCCTTCACTTTTTATCAACCCCATCCAGAAAGGTTGGAAACAATTCAGTAGAGATTCTACATTTCCCTGTATCCTGTGGAGCGAGGTTCCATATTGAAAGCTTATAAGCCAGTCACTTCTTGCCTTTGTAGTCCCCCCATTTTGGGCAGCCAATGTCTAAGTTCCCCATCCTTGTTGACCCTCTATACCAAGGGGATGGGAATGGTCCTTAATGTAGAAATTCATACAAACTTTTTTAAAACCCAAATCTGTCATAGATTATTTCATAGGCAGAACCATGGCTGATTTGTTGCTACCCATTCTTCCCACAGTATTTGCCGCATAATCCACTGTCATTTGTCGATTCAACATGCATGCTCATTGCTGTCATCAGTCCTGAATGTGCCTGGTCATTTTAATAAAATGAGATTGTGGATAATCTTTGACTCACCCTCATATTTTATATGAAAGCTGATTATCAGCTTAACCTATGTAGTCCCATTTTCAAAATAATTTTAAAATAGACTATAATAACAACTTTCATATTTGATTATAATAATTTTTAATATTCTTTTGATTTCCTTATTTCAGATTTGTTAGATATAATTATTTGCATTTAAATTAATATCATTAACGCTATAGATCTTTTTCATTATACTTTATAACTGAGGAATTATTATCTCTTTCTTGTTAAGAGAAACATTATCTTGGAGTGTTGTTCAAATTATGCTTAATGAAGCCTAAGCATTTTAAAGGTATCTTATTGACATTTGGCAAAAAGATGATGCCAGAGACAGAAGAGGAAAAATGGACCGTCCTTTAGCCTTAGTGCCCCTACTTAAGCCAGAGAAGTTTGGCTTTTATCTTCTTTGAATATCAGACTTTGATAAAGCATGAATTTTTAACAGATTGTCCAAAATTGGACAATCTTGGTTTTATTCTTCTGAATAATTGTGAATAGTACAACTCCTACTTTAAATTTCATTTCATGTTGTTACCCATTCTTCCCAAGAGTTTGTTGTTGTTTTTAAGTGCCGTGATGTTGGTTTCCATTAATAGCAACTCTATATAGGGTTTCAAGGAGCAGCTGGTAGGTTTGAACTCACAACTTTGTGTTTCATAGTCCACTGCTGATCCTACAGTGCCTCATCATGAGTCCAAGATAGTTTACCACCTAGATATTCTTGGTTTATAGCTCTCAATTTTATTCTATGTCAAATTTACATATAACTGTAATTCCAGAGCATTTTATGGTACTTATTCAACTCTTTCTTTGTGGTAGGGAGATAATTAACTTTAAAAATATAATTAGGACTTTTGAAGTACAAATAACAGAACCTCCACACAAATAAGATTAGATAAAAGGGAATTTATTGACTTACAAACCTAAGGAAAAGATGAACATTCAAACTATGGGAAAGATCAAGATGCAACTGAGCTTCAGGAATAATAGGAACCAGGGTACTAAATGCCTTGAAGAATCTCTCTCTTCCTCTCTGGCTCTTATTTCCATTTTTTTTTGTGTGTGTGTGTTGGCTGTATCCTGATTCTGTGCTCAGCTCCTGAGTCTGACACCCACTTCCAGCACAATAAATTCTAAATAATAATTTCTTTTATTCCATCTTGTGCCAGGAGACTATGCATGTACTAATCCCGTATAGCAAAGGAATATAAGTGAAGAGGGTAGGAAGGTAGGGATGTAGAGCTTAATGTATTAATTAAGACATAGATTCAAATTTCCTTGACCTAAATAAATTTAAAGTTCATTTATTGTTCAAATTGCTAATGGCAGTTGAGGACAGAAAACCTGCTCAAATAACAGCCTGGGTATGGTATATTATCATCACCATAGTTTTAGAGACCAGAATGGTTCAATCTTGTAGTTCCACAATCCTTAGGGTTTTTCCTGGATCACATGATCTGGGAGAGCACACCAATACTCTACAGGCAGTTTCAGGATTACAACCAAGTTCTGTTCCTGAATCTGTCTTATAATTGATTTTTTTACGTAAATAGAACTGTATGGTTCATGACTAACATCTGTTAGTCAAATGTTTGTTTTAGTTTGTAAACTACAGTATACCTTTCTATGCATAAAAAAGGTAAATCAAGAAACACTTTCAAATACATATTGTTGTTGTTGTTTTTAGGTGCCATCGAGTCAGTACTGACTCATAGCAACCCTACACACAACAGAAAGAAACACTG